GCCAGGATGGAATTTTTTTAAGCCATAAAGAACAACAAAATTATGTCATACAGGGAAATGGAAATAACTGGGGGTAATCATATTCAGCAAAGTAAGTTAGTCTCAGGAAGATAAATATTACATGTTTTTGCTCATTTGTTATTTCTAGATTTTATACAACACATAAATTCAGAGACATACATACATATCTTACAAACATACATGTGACATAAAAGTAGATGTGAAACTGTCTAGGAGAACAAAGGGTACCAACCGAAGTAGAGGTGGGGAGATGGGAAATATGCTCAAAGAATACTATATCCCTGAATAAAAATAGTTTTTGTAATATAACATGTACAATGGATATACACCAATGAAAATAAATACATAAAATCTAAGATTTAAAAAATGTGAAAATCCATGAGAAAAGGTAAAAATACTCCAATCTTTAAATTTAAGAGAGAAATGCTAGATATTAGGAGGCAATTGTGACTTTCCATATGCTACTGAACATTTGTGAGAGTTGCAACTTCCAGCTGAATGACCTGACCCAGATATGTCAGGCCATGCTTGGCTTGCTCCAAAATAGATCTTGCCTGCCTAGTTAAGAGAGAGAATTCCTCAGGCTTTAAATAATTTACACAAAAATGAAGCCTACTGGAAATTCAGCAGACATGCAGAAGATTCTTTATTTTGAACGTTATTATCTTTTGAATAGGTAAGGTGCTGTGTGTTTCAAAAACTAAATGACATAAAAAATATTGTCCCTATTGAGAAGTTTCATTCCAAACCTTATTTCTGACAACTTCGTTCCCTATGTCCCACAACACCCCTAACAACCACTTTCATTAATATTTTTCAGTCTTCACTTGTATATATGGAAATAAATTTTATTCATAGTCTCCTATCCTCTTCTCCCCAGGACACAGGAAATAGTACATATTATATTGTCTCTCCTTTTTGCATAGATACTGAAGATACTTATATAATAGAGAACAAACTGACTCTCCATGGTTGTACTAAATTACCTACAGCTCTTTAATGCTGTGAACTATTTCTAGTCTGCTATCAGAATGATCTAATGAGTACATAATCTTGTGTTAGCTTTCCATCACTGTAACAAATACTGACAGCCGACTGATAAGGGGAAGATGTTTATTTTGGCCTATAGTTTTATAGTTTTAGTCCATGATTAATTAGCCCCCTTGCTTTGGTGCATGGCAGGGTATTATGTTTGGAACAGACAGCAAAGCTAGACCACCCACCTCATTGTCAGAGAGCAAAGAAAGAAGAAAGGATCCAGGTCTCACAGTCCTCTGCAGGAGCAAGTCCCCTAAAGACCTTCCATTAATCCCCAAGTCTTAAAGTCTTACCACTTCCCAGTAATGCTCCCTCTGGGAGCACATGGGCTTGTGCACATTTGCTATCCAAACTGTATCAAACCTCCAATATGAAAGAAAAAATTATTTTAGATGAGTACACAAAAGAGTGGATTGGAACATGGATGAGAACAACTTGGCAACAAGCAAAGGCCAGAGTCTCCCAGTGGACCTGGGGAATTGGGGCTTGTGGGATATTATAGTCTATTACATGTGCAGTGAATGACCGGGTAGATTTTTCCAAGGGGAAGTTTTTCTTGATTTGTTTTCCAAGTGGGAAACACTTGGTTCTTGATTTGTTTTTTTCCCAAGTGAGATGCTCATCAGACACTGGAGCTCACCTGTACAGCCCAGGCAGGCCATTAGGCTTAACACGGTTTTTAGCATTTAGAAGATAACATCAGTTTGTTCTTAGGAGAATGGAAAGTAATTGCAAAAGCCTATTCTTAGCCAGTGTTCCACATTCTGAGAAATGTTTTCAAGACTCATGATTGAACTTCTTTAAAAAGTATTCCTTGGGGGCTGGAGAGATGGCTCAGAAGTTAAAGAGCACTAGTTGTTCTTCCAGAGGAGCCAGGTTCAATTCCTAGCACCCACATGGCAGCTCACAACTGTCTGTACCTCCAAGATCTGACTCAAAGACATGCATGCAGGCAGCATACCAATGCACATAAAACAAAGGTTTTTTTTTTTTTTTTAAGAGAGAGAGAGAGAGAAAAGTGCTCTCCTCTGACATGGACTTGGGAATTAAGTGGATATAGTACCAAAGATACTGTTAGTGGCCCATTAAATATTCATGCCACTTCCTTCTAACTCTTCCCATCCCATAACATAGATTACCCTGTTTCCCATTATAGTGGTGGATTCTGATTCATCTGAATCAAACATGGCAGCATGCCCTTTGGAAACGCTTGGCTCAAGTATTTCCAGATGGCTTGGTTTGGGACAGTGGACTCTGGAAGACACACCATCTGTTTGGGTAGCCTAGGTTTTAGGAGAGAAGTCAGAATTATAGTCCTCTTTCCTTGTGGCCTAATAGGTAAAGTCTCAAAATTCTTCTCAGTCTCATAGTGAGAAAGTAAATACATTCATAATTCATAAATTCATCTGGTCAGTGCCGTGACCCAGCCATAAGTACTCCATAGGTATCTTGGTGAAATAGGGTTTGATAGAATAACAGGCATGGGTGCCAGGGTGCCCTTCGAGTCATTAAATACCTTTAAAAAAACTGAAATAGAATGGAGCTGTGGAGATCTTGATTTTCCACCCATCCCCTTACTAGTAACTAGCCTGAATTCACTTTCACACACCAAAGCAGGGACAGTACTCTGAAAATATTTCAGTTCACCTGTCCATCAATGTTTCTGTTTGCAAATTCTCATAAATCTTTAGAACTAGACTTGTTCCTTCAGGGTATACCAAAGACTTACAATTCTGAATTCTTCTAGAGGTCATGCTTAGTTTTGCAATGAAGCAGACAAACCATTTAATTTTAGGGTTTCCATTCTGCTGCCATTCATTTTAGGGTTACTGCTCATGGGTGTGAAGATTAGGTCTGCTTTAGACTAGTTTCATTACTGTTTTGATTAAAAAAATTTCCCTCTAAAGACAATTGAAATTGGAAAAATGTTTCAATGATAGATATTACTTTATAGAGTAGTGCACTCTTTGCTGATTGCTCATTCTTGAATGGTCCGAGATTAAATACAAAGTGATGGGCACACAGGGAATAACACCTCCCTCTGCTGTGTGTGTGTGTGTGTGTGTGTGTGTGTGTGTGTGTGTGTGTATGTATGTATGTGGTGTTTCAAAGGTAGTTTATATACTGGGTAGAAGCATGGATTTTAGAGCCTGAAAGCAGACTTGCTCACTTAATTGGCAATGCCTGCACATGACTATAGAAGCGTGGCACCCTTTGTTCACACATTAATTACATGACAGTGATAATAAGGGTTAAAGCAAGTCAGGGAGTCCCATGGCACCCTGCCCAAAAGCCTTCAGTTTAGATCTCCCTCTGCCTCTCTAGAGCTTTATGGCTTTATAAAAGCCACACCCTCTAGAGTCTCACTGTTCCATCTACAAAATACTGACAATGCATCCTCTCTTGACTTGTCCTAGGGTGAAATTAAAAGTGGTTAACACAATGAGGGATGGAGCGTGGTTAAGAGCACTGGTTGCTCTTGCTAAGGACTCTGGTTCAATTCCCAACACCTACATGGTGGCTCACAACAATCCATGACTCTAGTTCCAGAGAATCTGACAATGCCTTCTAACCCCCTTTGGACATATGGTGCATACGTACATGCAGACAAAGCACTGGAACACAAAACTTACAAAAAGAAAATTTAAGGAAAATCTTTGATACACAACAATCACATATTCCCATTCTTCTGTCCTCATTTATGTGGTGACATTGGCTACATGGTGAATTCAAGGGCAACCTGGGCTAAGTTTCTCTGTCTCAAAAAACAAAACCAAACAAAAACAAGCAAAAAGAAAGCCGTAAGTACTAGCTTTTAAGTATATAAAACTCACTATGTAGCTGTTGGTGTTCTTGTCACCAAATGAATGGGGAAATTTACTATACTATTATCTATCTTACAGGTATTCATAATTGCATATATAAAATGATTAAGTATAGGAGAAATAAGGAAATAAATTATATGTTGGTAATTAACTTGAAGACTTTACTTTGAGAACTTTACATTTAACTGTCATGTTAAGTAACTATTTCTACAAAAATAAATTATTCCTACAAAATCCATAAGTGTATACATATGTATATATACACATTCAGCTTAGACCTTTAAAATGCAAGTTTAATTACAAGAGAATGTATTGACAGAAGCAGAAAACAATATATAAGTTACTGTAAAAACAAACCCAATCTGCTACGACTGCTTACCCTAAATTGAGGTACTTTTGCCTACTAGCACATTGCACAATAAAAAAAGAAACAATTGAGAATGTCAATACAACACATCTAAATCTTACAACACATCTAAATCTTATCTGTCACTAAAAAGAAAACCAAGAAAGTGGAAGTGAGTTAAACGTGCTGGAAATACTAAAATTGATTGACTTAACCAAATTGAATATTAATAGAATATTCAATAGAATGAGTGTAACAGAGCTGGCTTTTATACTTTGGTTAAACAAGTGAGTAATCAAACTGTTGGCTTTCCAAGTAAAAGCAAAACCAGATCAAATCACACTCTTTGCTGGGAATCAGGCTGCTCAGCTACAGTGATAACCACGGTAAGCTTAACTCTCTGCAATGGCTAATGGGGCTATGTTTTCCTTTTTTCAAGACAGCATGTTCATTTTAGGATCCTTGAAATCATAAATCTGAAGCTATAGGAAGATATCTGAGGTTGGAGATGAGTAAGTTATAAGGTAGAAGATACAGATAATCTTAAGAAAATTTCAAAGCCACAGCGGGGACTCTGGTTAATCTTAAATACATTCTAGGTGGTAGAACTGAACATTAATATTAATTTTACAACAGTAACAACAACAACGTCATAGGAGAGTGGTTTTGTACTTAAAAGTATAGTAAATGAATTAACTTTGCTTTTGCCATGATGCTAAGGCACAAATATCTGAAGTATTTACTGGAGGCAACAGGAAGCTGAATTTCCCTTATGGAAAGAGATGGCGGAGTTTAGCATTAAGTTCTCTCTCCTTGCTTAAAAGATCCAGGCTGTGCTTTTTGAAGGCTTCCGATTGAAGACGCAGCTCATCATAAGCCTTTTGGATCCCATCTACCCTGCGCTGAAGCTCGCGGACTCTCAAGTTGCTATCAACGGCCACTGCCTCCTGCTCGAAGCGTTCCAGTGCATGCTTCTTGGCCATGGCTGCTGTCTCCAACTTCTCCTCAAGCTGGCGGATCTCCGCCTGTTTGTTCTGGAGCACCTTGCCCCTCTCCATGGACAGCTGCAGCAGCTCCTCTTTCTCACGTGTGACAGTCTGCAGCCTGGTCTGTAGATCCTGGCTCAGGCTGCTATGCTCCTCCTGGTCCTTCGCCATCTTGTTGGTGGCCTGCCGGTGTAGCTGCTTGAGGCTCTGAAGCTGGCTGAGCAGCTGCTCTGTCTCCTTGGCATGAGCACAGGCCTGCTGGGTCTGCAGACCCAGCAGCTCCTTCTCTCGGGCCTGAGCCTGGCTGGTATCGTGTGCACACCTCAGTTTCAAGACCTCCAGTTCCTCCACCAGGGCCTTGTTGTTTGCAGTGAGTTGCAGTATCTTGGCCTCCTGGTCTTTCAGAGCCTGACTGAAGAGGTTGCTATTCTCCTGCTTCAGCTTCTCATTTTCCTCCTTCAGCTTGAGGTTTGCATTCTTGTGCTCGTCCTTGAAGCGGATCATCATCTCGTGGTTGGCTGCCAGGGTCATAAAGCGATCCTCCAGCTTTTGGACGTGATCACTCTGGACCTTCATCTTCTCTATCTCCTGCATCCTCTTCTCCTCCAGCTCATTGTTGAGCAGTTCCAGGATCTGGCAGCGTTCCAGAGCCTCATCGGATCTGCGTTTCAGGATGCAGATGAGCTGGGATTGCTCTTGGATGCGGGAGCGGAGCATTGCCTTCTCGCCCTTCTCTTCCTCAGAAAGTCCCCTAAGGTTGGCCAAAGCTTCTCTCAGACCATCCATTTCCTTAAATCCCAATTCTTCATCCTGGTTTTGCAAGTTTTCGTTTTGCTTTCCTAGGGACTCATCAGGAGTTGGGTTATCCATCCTAAGCGTCTGCTCGTCCTGAGGCATAGACGCTCGGCCTGAGAGCTGATTTAAGCCTGCCTTTCCCCCTCTGTTTCAAAAGGGCGTTGCTATGGACTCTTGGCACGCTCCAGCAGTTGGTTTTTCTAGTAAGGAGTCCTGTAATTGGTGGGCAGGCCTTCAGAATGTAGTGAGGTAATAGGGGGCGTTCAGAGCCAATCTGGTCAGGCTACACCTTCCTTTTTTGTTTTTAACCAATCACAGCTCTTGGCTCACTGCCACTGTCCAGCCTGTGCAGCCCGAGAAGCCAACCACAGAGTCAGCGTGGAACCTACTCCACAGGATTTCTGATAAGAGTAAACAGAGTAAACTTACAAAGACCCATTCCTCCTCTTTGTCCTGAAAAGAAACTGTTGTGTGTAGAAATGTAGTTGCTGTGAGTGCATACAAAGAGTCTGAACCAAGTGCTTAGCTCAGTTGTTGTAAATGAGATTAGTGTTACTTTGATGCTGTCCTTATGTCCTCAATGGATACCCACGGCAACCTCAGCACTCCTGTTTTTATCTGCTGGGAAGATATATTTACGGAAGGAGACACAATGAACAATACATATCTAATCAAATCAGCAAAGAAAAAAACATAATAATTACACTTGTGCCTCACACACTGGAGAGAAGGCGATAAATACGCTGATCAGAGGCCAATGGGGGGAAAATTAGCTTGTCAGATAAGACTAACATTTTTATACAAAGCTTAAAGGGATTATTAGAGCATTGTGTTAAAAGAGAAATGGACAATTATAATCTAAGTCAAACAGCTGAAAACAGAACCTCACAAATGAACCAACAAATGCAAGTGAAAATTAGACAGTATTTCATCCACCAAAATCAGTAAAAGAAAAAAAAAACAAATTCTCCTTATCATTTATGACTACCCAGGACTTATAAGGGGATGATGAAGGAATCCTTCTATACATTATTGGTGAAAGGCAGTTGAGAGTATCTATGCTAACTAAAAGTACTTCAGCTACATTGTAAACTCGAAATTGCCCTTGTCAGGAGCTCTTTGACAATCATCTGAAAGAAAATGTTTTGTGCATAGCTTTTGCTGTCAGCCTTATATTAAAAAGCTTGAACCTAAATACCCCAAAGCAGCAGCTATTGAGCATCATCATGTATAAAGGAAAATTTTCATGGCACAGGAAATATTTATGTTAGAAAGATAACTGAAGATGGATACAAAATTTGATGTTCAAAATAAAATTAGGTTTGTGAAACTTAGGGAGAGAGAAATAGTTGGCTCTTTATGTAATGAATGACTGTGTTGGTGAGTTAGACTTCATCTATACCTATATGGTGACAAAGAAGTCTACCTGTCCTTGTAACTGTTGGAGGGATGTTTAAATACCTCAGCTCTCACTGGGAACAAAACATGGCCAAGGGGTTGAGATGTTCCCTTTGGTCTCAAATATTAGAGATTATTTTCTAGATCAGTAATTTCTTGTCTATAAATGGATTGCAAGGCTGAAGACTAGGAACTTTCCTAAACTGGATGTTTTAGACCTTAACTTTTTAACTGAAAAAGGCATAAATATTATACATATTAATAGGGTACTGTACAATATTTCATATGTATACATACCTCCAATCAGATTAAATATATTTCATTATGCTTTTGCTTTTATCACTTCTTCCTTCCTTCCTTCCTTCCTTCCTTCCTTCCTTCCTTCCTTCCCTCCTTCCTTCCTTCCTTTCTTCTTCTTTGTGTGAAAAGGGATCTCATATAGCCCAGGCTGGCCTCAATCTACTATGTAGCTAGGCATGACCCTGAACTTCTGATCCTCCTATATCCACCTTTGGAGTGTTGGATTATAGGCAAAAGACCAGATAAGCCACCTAGAGGAAGCAGAAACCAGCCAAGCTGCCTGGAAGAGGTTTAGACCATTTGAGGCACCTGGAAAAGACACTCTCCAACCTGTTAAGCTGCTTGCAGGCTGTGCAGTGTGTGCTCCAGGTTCCCAGCTTTTGTGTTACCCATTCTCCTGTAAGTTAGCCCAATAAATTTCATTGGTTTACCAAGTTGAACTGTGGTGGTATCTGTACTTTGGTTTGTGGTGAGATCCCTTTCTGGAGTAAGGAGATGTGTGTGTTGCATCTCCACACAGAAAGTTTTGTCACACAACAAAGTGAGAATGGATCCCCACCCATAACTAAGGAATTGTTGGCAGTTGACAGCTGGGGGGGGGATGGGGGTAGGGAGCACCGGTTTTCTTCAGAGATGCTACCCTGCCCATACTCTAGCTGATGGCCCTACACCGATTCACAAACTGGCATAACTAACTAAACTGGGTGATTAAATAAAGAGTACAAGAAGTGGAAGTGGAAATGTGGTGGGTTGGGGGTGTCTGGAAGGAGATGAAAGGGTGGGGGTGAATTTGACCAAAATACATTGCATACAGTTATGACATCAAAAATAAAATATGCTTTAAAAAGAATGAATCCAACATAAAAGAAAAGTAGATGAAGAAATAGAGTCCTTATGACACTTTTACCACTCACACATGAGGCCTTTCCCACATACCTCGACTTTGATTCAATAGGAAACACCAATGGTCTACCTTATCATTCCTACTCACTACACAATAATATAGGCTTTGTAAGCAGAATGTCAAATGAACTAACTGGACACATGACTAAATAAGTAGTGGAGACACATATTTAAATCCTAGTGCAACTCTCAAGAAAACTGCAAATAAATTCGTTGATATATTCAGCAAGCATTTGAAACACATCTCTAAGAAAATACACATGGAAGCTTCAGGAAAATCTTTGCCTAAAAGTAACCCAGGCATAAACAAAGCCCATCATCCTGGGTTTCCTTGTGGAGGGTGGGAGGTTCTATAGTTCTTACAGGTAAGGGATGTGAGAATGGGCAGAGGCAGGTAGTCCTGGCTGGGGTTGGAGGAATACAACCGATTTTTTAGTTCTTCAGAGATGAGTGGATGCTGGAGGCAACTGCATTGTCACTGTGGCACCAGCCAGAGCAGAGCTTGCAATGGCAATGCATTCCAGCACAACCTCAATATAGAGCAATAGGGGGGACTCTATTAACTCATCATTCCCTTCCTCAACATCAGAGAGTACTGCTAATCACTCCCATGACAGACCTGGGGAGATAAGGGGAGGAATTAATTACATTAGTTGCTCACTAGAGGATTCAAGTTACAGTCAGTATTTATATGGGGAGAGAGGCAAATAAATCTAATAGGCTTTTATTTGTGTGTGAGAGAGAGATGTTGTTTAGTTTTGGTCTGTTTGTCTGTTTGTTTTAACCAGTCTTACCCTGTAGCCCAGGCTGGCCTCAAACTTAAAGCAATTCCCCTGACTCGGTCTACTAAATGGGCAACTATAGGCATGAGCCACATGCTTTCTTTAGTGGTTTTGATGATACCTTTGAGGCATCTTTTTTTTTCAAGGTTAAAATGAAGTTTATTATGTTTTTGTTGTTTTTTTTTCTTTTGATTTTTGTTTTTTTAAATAAAACTGTTTGTAAAACAGTTATTTTATCCCCACGGCAGAGTGACCCCTGAAAGATGCACATATCCCTTCTTAAGGCCTTAACAAGATTTTTTTGTACTTTTTTCTTTTTTAAAAACTCATATATTTAAAAATTATACATTTTACAAAACAAAATAATACAACATAAAGATTCATGTAGCATGAGGCCACACGTCTGACAAGCCCCCTTTTCCATTATAAAGATGAAAGCAAAAAAAATGTTCAAGTGGGTGGTTCTGGCCTTTGACGCATCTTTATAAGATGCCATGCTCACTCATTAACCAGATCTTAAATCAATGTTAAATCAAGACTTGTTTTGAGAAATGAAAACTAGTTGGGGTCTTAATGTGGAATGATATTTCATGCGTCAAAACAGCCCAAAGAAATCACTGCGGGGAAATTAGCAAGAAACATTAAGTTATCTTCAATCATAAATGTTGACTTATTTTCAAGCTTTTAACAAGTATTTTTAAATAAAAATTCTGCTTTTTATAATAACCAGAGCTGCTCATTTAGATGAAACAATGCCTAGAGTTGCATTGAAGACTCTAGAGAAGTTAGCCATATTAGAGAATTTATATTTTAAGATTCTTACTACAAAGTATTTTTATTTTTATTTATTTATTTATTTTGGCTTTTCGAGACAGAGTTTTTCTGTAGCTTTGGAGACTGTCCTGGAGCTAGCTCTTGTAGACTAGGCTGGCCTCGAACTCACAGAGATCCGCCTGCCTCTGCCTCCCAAGTGCTGGAATTAAAGGTGTGCACCACCACTTCCCGGCCTACAAAGTATTTTTAATATAAGAAGTCAGGCTAAACTACCAATGCAATTTAAATCACGATAATTTATTCTAAGGGTCTTTACAAAATACCTTATGAAAATTATACATAGGAAGTACAATAAAATTGACAATTTTTATTCTAATTAAAACTTTGTAGCAAAGCATATCTGTAACTACTTTTATGCTCTTTCCATATAGTAAAATAAAAACAATTATATGCAATATTTTAGCTTACTGTTATAAAATACAGACTTTCAAAACAAATTAAGCCAAAATAAGCCCAGAGCTGAATTCCATATGCAACCAGTAGGTGGCACCAAAGTCCATTTGAGATTGAGAAGGAGGGGTGGGGAGGCGGGGTCTCTCAAGGCAGATTTATTGCCTGTAAAGTCAGTCTTACTGTCCGAAGATGGAATTCAATGTCTTATTAGAGGCTGCCAAGTAAATAGTTGTCTTATTATGAAGTTGTCTGTCATCACTGTTGTTCTTCCTGTCTTTACCCTATCCCAGGAGTATTTTTTGTCACTTTGCCCGTAATCTTCCTATTTGTATGCCCAGCAAGCATTTTAATAACCAAACTGAAGGCCTGAATTGCCATGCAAGATTGTAGTGTGAAACCTGTATGGGTGGCTTTTTCTTTGGTGTGGAAGCAACAGTTCAATTTTCCTAACTTGTTCAACTATCCTCTTGAATGTTGGCATCACACATCTCG